GTTGTGACACAAGTACAATTGGATTGTCTGGTGTGGGAACGTTCCGTCACGTCTGCTAGACTACAGGTGGGTGTGCAGCGCTGTGGGTTATTGCTGGAGGGTGTTGCGGATGATGCTGAAGTTGAACAAGGAATAGCGAGAAAGTCCGTGCGAGCGTCGATTGCGGAGGAGTATGCCAGCATTTATGAGGGGCAGGGATACTGAGGGCTTCGCCGACATACAATCGCCCCGACCCCCTTCTGGGTCCCTGGCAGCTGACAGCTGACCTCTTACACAACCTAATCAAGTTCGTGGTGCTTTACAGCCCTACACCGAGTGCGAAGGCACCACAGGTCAAGTGTGCACCGCAACCTGATCGGTGAACACACTTCTTTCATCCGTTTATATTCGCGATCGCAACCGAAAGAAAAACGGGCCCTTGACTCAATGGTTAAAGCATTCGAATTGATGACGCCTGATGATCAAAGAACAGTTTCGAGGCTGAGGTGTGGCACAACTTGGGTTTGTGTAAAGCAGACTGGCGACAACTAATTAACCGGAAACGGCAAATCCGGTCTCCCTTGTCATTGTCGGTAATCTTCAACTCAATAAAAATTCGAGGTCTAGATATCTAATCTCGTTCACTATCCCCACAAGTAAGGTGCGGAATAAAAGGAGATTAATACATGGACCGAAATATAGTTGAACCTAACGTTTTGTAAACTGCCTCGTTTGGATCATCAGAGTAAAGTCAATGTGAACTGAAATTCCGAAATTCATCTTCGGTTGTGGAGGATTACTTGTGTGTGGTTGTAATGGTGATTAACTTGTGGTACCGTTATTTGATATTTTAGGTACACTAGGATTTTGACTTTTGAATAAGTCTCTTGCAGCCGCTTGTAAAAACCGCACTCGGTAAAAACCACTACACAAGTAGTATGCAGACTGTCTACTGATTTTTGAAGTCCTTGTAAATTCGAGGATATCGTTGAGAAAAACCCTATAGACATATAATTTCTTGTATTTATTTAGTAGCGCATCATGTATTTTTCAAATTTGATACATAACTAAAGGGTATGTTTCGCTTTAAAAAGTATCTGACTATGAGATTTTTGAGATCCTTCAATGGTCATTCAAATAGCATTGTCTGTTTAATAATGGTCCTCATTAAGTATGCTGCAACATTTTATAAGTCTCATAAAATGTTTTCCTAATGACATAGAGGAATGTACGCTCCCTGCCAAC